CAAAAAATGCCCTCCATCCCCATGCTAGAGTGGAATGAAGGGTCCTTGTAAAGATTTTTCATTCTCACAAAAGTATACAAAAATATTTTTTTTTTGTTTGATTATATACAAAAATAAATTGATTCATTCAATCCTTTGATTAGAAAAAAAGTCCAAAAGCATTTAAAAAAATAGTTATTTCTAAGTTTTTTGTTAGAAAATGAATCAAATTAAATAAAATAAAGTACACTTTACCAAAAAAAAAATAAAATAAGCTAAATTCAAATTAAGGGAAACATATTAAACAAAGAGACGCAATAGAGAGGAGAGATGAGAGGGTCAAAGTGTTTGTAGTTAAGATTTGTGGATTTGAGAATTGAGATGTTCGAATTTATTATAATTTATAAAAATAAAATTTATAATTCTTTATTAATTTACAATTTCTCATGGGATCCACAAAATAAGGGAAATCCCTTGTGAAATTTTACGAGAGAAAAATTGCTTCCATCCTTGCTTTATAGGGAAGAATATTTTGAGAATCTCCGTCTCTACGATGAGAATATCCACAGAGCTCTACAAATTGTAAAGGAAATTGCCATCCCTAAAATCAGGTGACTCTCTAAATACATTGAAGAAAATCCAGCATAAGAAGAAAATTGAAGAAGGATCTTGGGATGGAGTTGAAAAAAGAGAGCTGAACGCAATTAAAAGACATTCAGTTTCATAGTAACAACACCTTTTTTTTTAATCTTATAATGTTATATGACATTGCAATTATATTATTTTAAAATTTTTATATAACGCAACAAGCTTATCGAGATTAATTCAGTCCAAAGACCATCTATTTATGGAGTCAACGCCGATGAATTAAAAGTGAATTTTGAACAGGGTATATGTAGCTATATGTTTTAATGGGGAAAACCCAAAAGCTAGAGTTGTTATAATTTTTTTTTTTTTTTTTGTTTGCTATGACCTCTTCTGCAATTCTGTGGCAATTGAACTAAACTTTGGGTTTGTATGTCCTTCACATGAATTGCAGATGGGGACGATGAAGGAATTTTCTGTTCAGGTCGAGGAAGCAAGAGAAGGACAAGACGGGAAGCCATCAGTTGGTCCTGTATATCGCAACCTACTTTCCAAAAATGAATTTCCTCCACTTGATCCTAACATGTCTACAACTTGGGATCTTTTCAGGTATACATACGATATATATGGGTTCAGCTACGAATTGTATGTCATACCATATTTTGCATTTTTAGCGATTAATGCTAGAAACTTAAAGTGCAAGCTATCATACTCTCAATTTAACATCTTTTAAGCAACCTACTTCAGTACAATGGATGAAACTAAATATGGAGGTAGAAAAAGGAAAGTAAAGAGAAAAAGAAGGAAAGAATTGTATGTAAATGAATTTTTTATTATATACTTCTATTATGATTTATGTACCAAATACATATATATTTATATATATTTATACTTATATGATTTTTGTTTAATAAATGTTAAATGATGGTATATTAGAAACACACTTTATGATCAAGTTGACTGTGTGGAGGCTTTGGCCTAATTCTGGTCTGTAGCTGTCTCAGAGGCAGGCATTTCTTTTCATTTGATGACAAAGCGATCTTAATCTACAGTTTCTCTGCTAAGAAGTACCCCGGAAACAGGATGCTTGGATGGCGAAATTTTGTTGATGGCAAGGTAATTTTACATTTGAAAACACCTTCTGATATAGGGGCGAAGCTTTTTCTCTTTTTTAATTTTGTTTTTGACCTTCAGGTAGGGCCTTATGTCTGGAAAACCTATAAAGAAGCTTATGATGAGGTCCTGTTGATTGGTTCTGCTTTGAGAGCATCTGGTGCTGAACCTGTAAGCATAAATATCAATTCACTGCTCTTTTATTTTTCTGCAGATTAAATAATGCAAAAAAATTTTGGCAGCTTAATCATTTCTCTCTCTCTCTCTCTCTCTTTCTAAGCCTTTCCTTTTGCGATTTTAATGATATATGACAGGGTTGTCGGATTGGGATTTATGGAGCCAACTGCCCCCAGTGGACTTTGGCAATGGAGGTCTGTTCTGATGTTTTCTACTAGAAATCCTGGAAAAATTTTAGTTTACTTTTTTTTTTTCTAATGTATAAATGACATGGATGTGTTACGTTTTATCTAGGCTGGTAGTGCCCACAGTTTGGTTTGTGTGCCTCTCTATGATACCCTTGGTAAGAAATAAATACTCCTTGCAAAGTTTTCTGCATTAATAGCAAATATTGATGTCTTTCTCCCTTCTTGAAAAGACTCTGTTTTTTTCCTCCAATTGGGGATATTTGAGCTTCCAAGGGGCCATTTTCCAGGGGCCCAAGCTACTGAGATCTTTTATTGGTTAATTGCATACAAATGACCTTTGAATTTTGTTCATCTTTCTGGATGAAGTTTGTTCAGCTGGTATGGCTTACAGCGCCAATATCTTCTGTGCTTTACACAGTGTACTATCAAGATAATTGAAAAATGTTACCTTCCCCTACATCTTATTTTCTTCTTGTATTTGATTGCCAGGAATTTATTTTTTTTTTTTTAGGAGACCATAAATGGTTGCGGGGGTGATTTCAATTGTGTAGAATGTTCCATCCTTTTGCACTGTAGCACCAATTGGCTCATTGATGATAGTTAGTTAATAATCATTGTTCACACTGTTTGTTATGAAATTGCTTTCTAGCATGTTGGTGAAGGTCTTATCCTAGGAAATTATTAATTAAAGGCACCATGGGTTTCCTCTGCATAATTTAGTTCTTGAATTCAACAGTATCCATAGGGTAATCTTATGCTTCATTCCTGTGCCTTGGATATAGGGCCTGGGGCTGTAAATTTTATCATAGATCATGCAGAGCTTGATTTTGCATTTGTACAAGACAAGAAAGTGAAAGAGGTAAGTTTCAAAAGCAACAGTTTTGAACTGTCCTGGGATTGACTATTATGCTTTTCCATATGATTTTCAATATCAAAGGCAACATTATCTGAGTGCCCCATGCCTTTGCAGCTTCTAAATCCATGTTGTAGATCTGCTCAACGGCTGAAAGGTAAAAATTATTACATATATTTCAGTTTTTAAACTTCATGAAGGCTCCCCACTGAGCTTGGTTCTGGTTGCAGCAATAATTTGCTTCACAGCATTGACTGAGGAAGAGAAGGATAAGGCCTCTCAAATGGGGATTAAACCATACTCTTGGATTGAGTTTCTTGAAATGGTTAGTTTTCACTGATTGGAGGGAGGAAGATGTTAATTCAACTCCAATGGACTGTGATACGATTTTATTTCTTACTTTCTCTAGGATTTTCATGTTTGCATGTTTTCACCATCTTTTTGTTAATCTTGTGTTTGTTTTAATTAACCATCCTTGATATTTAAATTACTCTTAAAACATAAATCTCTATTTTTGCACTGCTTCTGATGACTACTATCATCTTGAAACACTTCACATGTGAATTTCAGCCAAAGTTCCTACTTAAAACAAAATAGTTTCTATTTTCCAGATGTTTCTCTTTTATAATTGATCTTCTGAGTATTTGTTTATCAGGGAAAGGAGAACCCGCAGGAGATTTTGCCACCGCAACCTTTCAATATCTGCACTATTATGTACACAAGTGGCACCAGCGGCGATCCCAAAGGTGTTGTGTTAACTCACGAAACTGTTGCAGCTTTTGTAAGCGGGATTGATCTTTTTATGGAGCAATTTGATGACAAGGTATATTCAATGGTAAAACCTTCAATAGAATTTTTCTAATGTGCCTTCTACCATTCAAATGTCATGATGATGATAGTATGTGTTTTTCAATCTGTCTGTCTGGAAATATTATGGTTGACATGGTTTTGATGTTGGATATTTTTATTGTTCAGTGCCTTTTATTACTTATTGCTTGTCTTTCTATCCTGATATATCCTTTTGTGTAAATTTCTAGATGACAACGGATGATGTATTTCTGTCATTCCTGCCCCTTGCTCACATCCTTGACCGTGTGATTGAAGAATATTTTTTCCATAAGGGTGCATCTGTTGGCTACTACCATGGGGTATGCTGCTGAGCTGTCTGCTTCTTTCATCCTTGACTCTGTAATTCTGCTTAGTTAATTATATTCATGCTAAAAGGCATTTGCTTCATTGTTTGAAGGATTTGAAGGAGTTACGGGACGATATAATGGAGTTGAAACCAACATTTCTTGCTGGTGTACCCCGAGTCTATGATATAATTTATGAAAGTATGCCAAGCATCTGTTACTAAGAAACTTTCATATATTTGAGTGCCAATGATTAAACCCTTACCTCATTGAGACTCTATCTTGCAGGTATTAAGAAAGCACTGGACGAGCTTAATCCATTGAGAAGGCGAATTTTTGACGCTCTCTACAAATAGTAAGATGATCTTCTAAATAGTATTTTACCATACTGTGATCTAATTTGATGACTCTCCTATTTTCTTATTGTAGAAGGAAACATAATAATACTTCTATCCGTATCATGTGACAATGATACTTATTCATCTGTGTTGAATGCAGCAAACTTCTTTGGTTGAATCTTGGCTATAAACAGAAAGATGCATCACCTCTAGCTGATCTTTTGGCCTTCAGGAAGGTTGCAATTTCTCTAAAATCTTAATTTTCTATAGAGTTGAAAATCTGGCAGCACTTTGGACTTTGGTGATTACTAAGCATCAAGACTTTACTCATTTAGATTACATCATTGCCATCGTCATTTCATTAATTTTTGCATAATTGAGATTAACTATAGGTTGTACACTGCTACTATGAACTTGGCTTCAATAAAATATGTTTAGCACTCCTTAATTTTTTCCCTGTATAATGTTTGTTATTCTCTAGTAAACAGCATATTTGTTAATTCCATTCTTCTTTTCTTCTTCAGGTCAAAGCTAAGTTAGGGGGTCGCCTTCGATTGCTAGTGTCTGGAGGTGCACCATTGAGCTCTGAGGTAGAAGAATTCCTGCGTGTCACCTGCTGTTGCTACGTGATTCAGGGCTATGGTAATTATTCTCCCAATTGCAGAAACCATATCACGTTCAAAATTTTCATATACAGCTTTTGAACTCATGGGGTAATTTCCATTGTGGTTAATTCAGGATTGACAGAAGCTTGCGGGCCAGCAAGTTTTGGTTTTCCAGATGAAATGTGCATGATTGGTGCTGTTGGTGTCCCTGCTGTGTATAATGAAGTGCGTTTGGAGGAAGTTCCGGAGATGGGCTACAATCCACTTGGGGATCCTTCTTGTGGTGAGATATGCTTGAGAGGGAAGACTATATTCTCTGGATACTACAAAAATCCTGAGCTAACAAGAGAAAGCTTGCAAGATGGGTGGTTCCACACAGGTATTGCATTTGATTTGCTTTTCAGACTTAATTCTTGGTTACTAGTCCTGGGTTTATAACTTTAGCATTATTTTCAACCTCAGGAGACATAGGTCAAATCCTTCCAAATGGAGTTATTAAGATAATTGATCGCAAGAAAAACCTTATAAAACTCTCCCAAGGAGAGTATGTTGCACTTGAGTACTTGGAAAATGTTTACAGCATTACTCCTGTTGTTGAAGATGTGAGCATTGTTTCTGAATTGTTAGCTGGTTTCATGATACATCGTATTCCTTTAAATGACCCAAAAAAGAATGAAGGCTGTTTGTTTTCATACTGATTTTGATTGTCTTTCATTTTTACCTTCAAGATATGGGTCTATGGAAACAGCTTCAAATCAATTCTGGTTGCTGTAGTTGTGCCACATGAAGAAAACATCAAAAAGTGGGCATACTCGAATGGTCATGTGGGTTCACTCTCTGAACTCTGTTGTCTTGACCAGCTCCGGAATTATATCCTCTCAGAGCTAAAATCCACAGCTGAGAGAAACAAGGTATCTCTACTCGAATTCAGACCAACATTAGCTCATGGATTTATGGTTTTGGAACTATTTTCACTTGCTCTTTCTCGAACGGCTTCCCTTTCCATTCCTGGTCTCATTTTAAGTCCTAATCAACCTCTTTGTTTATCGATCACTTAGCTGAAAGGTTTTGAATTCATCAAAGGAGTCATTCTGGAACCCCTTCCATTTGACATGGATAGAGATCTAGTGACTGCAACAATGAAGAAGAAAAGAAACAATCTCCTTAAATGCTACAAGGTCATTTCCATTACTGTCATGTTATTCTCTTCAATTTCTTTTCTTTTAGCTCTGGTAAAGGAATTCACATGCCATTTATTTGATATCGAACAGGCTGAAATTGATGAACTCTATCAAAAATTGGCTGTGCAAAGAAGAAGCTGAAGTTGCATTATCATGAGCAATTATTAAAAATAAGATTATTGTTAAATAAGAAACAAGTTGTGGAACTGGTGTTGCAGACCTCTGCTTAAATGACTGATGATTTGTTTGACCCTGCTTTTGGATGAGGTTTTAGATAAATGCTATAAAATAAAATAGAAGGGTTTTTCTAACTTGGATAAATCCTAAAATAAAATAGCAAAAAGTTGGGTTAAAACTTCTTTTTATTATTTTCTATTTTGGGTTGCACAATAAAAAAGCAATTTTTTCTCATACTTTAACCTCACTCATTTACTTTTACAAAATGAAAATTATCAGTTAATTACTTATATCATAATGAGTTAACTTGAAACTTTAAAATATTATTTTTAGCCTAAATTTTTTTTTTCAAGATGTAGCCAAGTGGCCATGCTGCCTTTTGTTGTATTAGCACAGGGGCTTGGTGCTCCTTCTGTGCATAAAAATTTGCATGGGATGAGCTTCAAGAATCATATACTATGCGAATTACTTTTGCCAAAAAAATAAAAGAAGAGAAAAAACCAACTACGGGAATTAAAATTCAGAACAAATAATTTCGAAGGACCATAGGATGGTGTTGCTCTAAAAATTCTCTAGTGGCCTTGCATGAAAAATTTGGATGTCGATATGCCACTTATTTTGCTAAAAGTAAAAAAGGAAGACTTTTTGAACAAACTTTCTCCTTTCTCATGGTCGATCTCTTTGCAGATGACGGAAAGAATGTTGGATTAAAATTAAAATCTATGCCTACAAACGATTTGCAAGAGGGAGGGGTACCTTTCGCAAAATGAGTTACGAAATATGCCTTGGACAACTCCAAGGACTTAAACATTACTGTGAATTAAAGTTATCAAATCTTAATTAAACTAAACAGCATGCAATTTAAAGTAAATTCACGAGAATATGATATACCCAAAATAAATTAAACATGTTCATTGTTAAATTAAAATACTATCTACTGACAGATCTAGAAATTAAATTACTGTAGAATTGGAGATTCTACCCTAATTAAAACTAAAATAAACATGAACATGAATTAAATTAACATACTTGAAGTTGAGAAGAAGTAAACGTCATATAAGTAATCATTGAAGAAATGCTACTTATCATAAACATTAAATTCATTGCAAACAGAAAATGAACAGTACCTTGAAGAAATTTGAAAAACTGAAATTCATTACATGAAACGAAATTGTTGAAGCGAATACATGAATTAGTTTATCTACTGGAATGTGAAAAATAACATAGATCCACTAAAAATTGTACTGAAATTCGAAATCTGAAAGCAATTGCAGTGAAATTGAAAGTCTAAAAATTTGCAAATATTTGAGTACGGCTGGCCATTTGTTCTTCCTTCCAAAATTTCCTTTTTGTTCTCCTTGGGCCGACAATAACTGTCCACTTTCTATAGTTACAAAGTTATGGGTGGTTTCTTAAAATAGTGGACAGTTCAACAATTGACCTGGTTAGATCTCTTTTCAAATTTTCGCCACCTGTGGTTTCTACAACTATAATCTCCTCCTAAATTTCAGCTAAAATAGTCATTTTTTTACTCCAAAAAGTAATTACATGGTAAAATTTTATTTTTATCTTCTTTTTTTGTCATTGTGACAACTAATTTGTCATGGAGTCCAGAATAACAAATCTGATATGACAAAATCTCCTCCCTCCATTTAAAAATATTTTGACACGTAACATAATTTTAAATTTTTACAATTTATGATGTAAACAGATGGAGTCTGACTAAGTATGTGCCAATTGCCTTGTGACCATATCTCAAATGAATCGGTCGGATTTCATAATACAAATTTAGTTGGTTATTTTGCCATACATAGAGAGCTCTGAGTTCGAGTTGTAGCCATACTTTGTTTTCTTTACAAGATGGGGGCGTCTCAAGTCTAACAAGCAGATTCTCTATGGCGAATGTGCATTTTTTTCAGACTTTACATTGTGTCACACTTGATGCTTGTCTACCATCAAAATAACAGTTCACTTCTCACTTCATTTGTCAGACCAAGCACTCAAGCACCTGTTGCAGCCTTACAGAATTGCCCTCCCTTTCCTTTCCCTGGGATGATTGGCACTTGCAACTTCATCATGTCTTCAGAAATGAAAAGAGAAATAGCAAGTAAAACTTAACAGCATATAATTTATTCCACAAGCTACGCTTTACAAAACTGGAGGTTGGAAATTGGAATTCAATAAATATATACAACAAATATGATAGTATCCAAGCCAACTACCGTATTCCCTCGACATTTTTGTACAATTGACAAACCAAACCAACAGATTCTTGCAATGGGAATTTGCTTATTCAATAATTTATCGATTTTTGGGATCTGCTGCTATTCTCTGCCAATTGGGGTTGGGTGCGTTCACTTCTTTCTTTTGTCTGAGAATCTTTTGTAGAACTGAACAGAAACCAAAGCTTCACTTGATGCAACTGCTGGTGCAGGAGATCCATCTACTGTCCCACTTCCACTGCCTTTTGAACATAATCCTGCGAGCAAAGTTGGTTTACACATCAGAAATGCCTCAGGAGGATGGATTTTCTGCACAAAGCGTGACAACTTTGCTAAACTTAGTACTGGGAAAAAATATATCAAGTAACATTTCCAGGCTTGAATTTAATCTCTCCAACAACTATCAAGACATAGATTCAGCAGTTAATATTGAAATCTAAAAAGGAACCCATCATTAGTCAACGAGAGAGTTAAGGAAATGCCAGCTTACAGAGCATGTTCTATCAATCTAGAAAGCATTAACACTATATGTCTAGCTACTAGGACAAAGGGAACTAACACCAAAGAAAATTTGTTTGCCAAGGAGAGTAAGAGAAGAGAATCAAAGAAAAGAGCAAGATAGATCTTAGTTCTAAGGCTGCAGAATAAAGAAAAAGAACCCTTTTTTTCCACAAAACTGATTGAACCAGCAGGTCTAAATCATATTCAGCCTCATTCAGAAAGCAGTAATTAGAAGTGATCTTACTATTTGCAGTTGACATGCAGTCAAAATCACGCATCCATTCTCAGGGGAAAATAAAGCAGAAAGATCAAACTTGATGATACTTCCCCCTAAATTTCAAGAGTATCATCCTAAGTTCTTCACAATATAAGGCTACTGTTTTTTTTGGATAAATGAACATTGGTGTGGCTTTTTTTCATCATTTCCTCTGTCTCTGTCACTAGCCATCTGGTATTAATAGATTAACTTAAAACATATGGTCAATTTTTTCCCCTTTTTTTTTTTTTTTTTTTTTGTTTTATCAGCAAATGTATAGTCCATTTGGTTCATGGAAAATAACTTCTTAGAAATCATAGGCAGTATGTATGACTGATGCAATATTATATTGCTTTCATTCAAAGCAAAATAAAACCAAACATTTGGGAAAAACAAGGAAAAGTATATCCTTTTTATCAAAGTATTTTGCTTCACATGTACATACATTTACAAGTCATGTTACCTCCAATTTCAAGGAAATCATTTTCAGCAAACCATAGCATTACAATCTGCAAATTTTTTTACCCAGATTATAGTGCACAGAAAAGACAAATGAGTTTTTAGAAGTTTATACCTTTTTTTTCCTTAAAAAAAAGAAAGATACAAGTACAAAAGGATTAATAGTTGTCAACATATTAAGTAAGTTTTGAATAGATATTAGTCATGCACTGGCATCTATGATACCTTGAAAATTCAAAGATGTAAGGGTACCTTGAAAGATTATGACAAGGCAGAACAGAAGGGTAACAATCAGAGCAGATAGACTGCTGCTTGTAGATGATGATTTTGCTGCCTTCATCTTCTTTAAAGCTTGAATTCGTTTGATTTTGGCACGCTTTCTCATAGCAAGCTCAGCAATCTCCCTCACCAATTTCTGGTCTGCTGCATCCAACATTGGACCTTTAGGTGGTCGTGGTGGTTTGGGAGGCTTCCTAATGTTTGTCTTCTTCTGTTTCTCTTCTCCAGTCTTCTCCACAAGTGCCTTATGCTCAAGACTCTCTACCGAATTCTTGTCAACCAACAATTCCACATTCTTGTTATCCAGCCTGCAAGAACTTGATGAACTGCTGCATGAATTGATTGCAGATTCACCCCTACCCAATACATCAAAACTTAAAAGCCCACTCCAGACCCTATTGAAAGCTCGTCCATTTTCTGAAACATTATCATTGGTTCTTTCATCTTCACTGGAAGTACCACCACTTTCAATATCTACTTTAAGCTCTCTTTCTCTTAAATCAAGTTGATCCATTTAACAAGATTCTTGTTGATGCCTCACTCCCACTTTTTTTGATGATAAATGTAGCTTGCTGATTCTAAACACCTTCTAGTTTTATTGAACTGCTCCTTGGCCTAAAACAAATTGCATAGAGCAGCATGCAGGGACAAGATATCTCACAAAAGAAGGGTGGAGAAGAGACTTCTCTCTATTTTCTCTGCCGTCAAACAGATAACTGCAAATCCAAACAAGCAGTTACATCTTTTCTCACCACCAAAGTTTTTTTTAACTGAAACTATCAAAATACTAGCGTGAATCGAGTTTAATCTGTATGTTTCCAAGGGTATAGAAACCTGAACAGTCCATAATTGAGGAACATAGAATCCCCTAAAGTTCAAAAGTTTTGAGCAAAGACCAATCTCCAGACCTTAAGCAATGAATAAATTATGAACATGACATATTGCTAAAGATTCAGGAATATGTACAACAAACAATAGAAATCTCCAAAAGGAAAAAGAATTTTAAACAACCAAAATCAAGACACAGAGGTGTTGAAGCAAAAACAAAATCATTTTCCTGAGGCATAATTGAACGAAAATTGGCATGTTAAAGTGTGGTTATTTCTTTGGATTATACCTAAGGTGCATTATTCTTAATTCTTTCTTAGCAAACCAAATACATAATAAAGCATGAAACTTTAAGCTAACCTTTTCGTTTTCCTTCTGTTTCCAGGCAATGCCCACCATCCCCACTTTAATCCAGCTCCAAAATATCCATTAAAAAAATAAATAAAAACCCAGAATACAGAACTCAAAATCCAACCGCACCAAAATCAATTCTAAAAAAAAATAAAAATAAAATAAAATAACCATGAAAATCATTGGATGAAAAATATGGAATGTACCTTGAGTGAAGCTAAGATGGTCTTGAATCGGCGAGAACCAAAAGGAATGTCGGTAAGTTTTGTCCAGGTTGATTCCCAATTTAGAGGTGACCCATCTTAGCAGTGCACACAGATTAATGAATGATCAACAAATTTAAGAGGGTAAAGGATCTTTAAATTTAAAGGAATGGTGTTTTAAAATAAAAATAGTAAATCGAAATAAAAACAGAGAGATAGGGATAGGGACGGTGAAACAACAGCTCTTTTGTTTTCCATGTTCTGTTGCCGACGGCCGAAAGGACGAACGTGTCAGCATATTGACGGACGGCAACAGATAATTGCCGGTTGTTCATGGTAACGTGTATTTTTTTTTTTTTTAAATATCTATTTGTTTTCACCTTTTTTTTTTCAATATATTTCTTTTTATTAATTTTTCATATCTAATAATCACATTAAATATCAATTAATTTATAATTGAGTTGTATCAGACTTATGAGAGAAAACTCTTTCAACACTTATTTTTTAATTTATAACACTTGAAGTTAATATTTTATTTAAAAAAAACTGAACTGTTTCCACTCGAATCACCAGATAGTTGGTTTTCAGTATATTTTTTACTTCTTCTCACATGTATCGTTCTCTTAATCTTTCCAAATTAAAATTCGAACTTTAGAATCTCATCTTTAATTACTTAAATCTGTCTTGTAAAAATTATTTTTAAGAATATATAGGGAATTATCTTGTTAATTTATAATAAAAAATTATTATACAATTTAAATTATAC